ATATATATATATATATATATATATATATATATATATATGTAACATTTTAATGCGGACAGTCTCCGGCCAGATAATGAATTCTAATTAGTAGCTAATGTGTTCGTCGCAAATTTTGAACCAGTGTGCAGTGGATCAAACGGTCAATATACCTGTATGCGTTTCGAAAGTTACTCACAGTTGAACATGAATTAACAAATGAACGAAATCTGTTCATATTCATTTTTAAGAAATATTTATGAAAATTACGGCGAACTGTCATAGATATTTTAGTGCCAGATCTAATGCAAACAAATTGAGCTATCTGTCCACCCAAAGTGGGGTCTTCAGCGAAGCTGTATGTGTGTATGAACTTATGGTGAATGCCTAAAATACGGGTGGAAACTAATGGACCGTATGAAACACTCAGTTGTGTCAAAAGGCATGTAATCTTTAGAATTGCTCGTGATCGAACCCGAACTGCAACTGTCCGAGTAGAGCAAACTTATAAGACAAAGCAGTATTTTTCCATCAGCTGAGAGAAATTTCGAACAGACTGAGACATCATCGCTTCAGAAGGTCCATTTGAAAGCTACTGATTGTTTACCAAGCCCTTCTGAAACAATACCGTGTGTAAGTTCGCGAAGGAAACTAATCATAAGGTTAGCGAATATTCACTAACTTGGTTTTTGTAGTGTACTACTCATAAGGTCGCTGAAAATCCGTCGACAGCCCACGACCGGTTTCGTCCTTTTTGGAGCTCATCAGGTAGGCGCAGTCCCCGAGTATCCGTCAACCTTATGTTCTAGTTGAAACCAAATTGCACGAAATTAGCGAATATAAACTCATTCGCAAACTAATTTGGTTTTTTCGAGAGACTCACCTGGAACCCAGCTGAATCTCTCGGTTTTTATGTTTCCAGGCAATTGAATGCGCTGCACCAGGCCGCCTCATTTTTCAGTCGCAACGATATTCGAGATATCGCGATACATATGTATTTTGTACTGCACTACTTATATGGTTGATGAAAACCCTTCGACAGCCCACAACCGGTTTCGCTTTTCTTGGGGCTCATCAGGTAGGCGCAGTCCCCAAGTTTCCGTTAACCTTATGTTCCAGTTGAACTCAAATTCGACTGATTTTGACAAATGCATTCATTTGCATATCAATTCGGTCTTCACGAGAGACTCAACTGGATCCCTCGTCTATGATATTATTCAATTGAATGCGCTAAACAAATGTCGTCTCATTTTCCAGTTGGTATGATATTCGAGGTATCGCAGTGTATTTCCACAAAGGAAACTACTCATTAGGCTGCTAGAAAAACTTTGAAGATTATCATAAACGAGAGATTCAGTTGAGTCTCGCGTGAAGACCAAACTGATTTGCAAATGAGCGTATACGTTGGAACACCTTGTGTATTTTCTGCCCCCGCCCTCTGTTAAGGCGGTCAAGGTCACTGACTTCACAGTGTTGTGCTGAAATCATTCACCGACTGCCGAGGTAGAAAACTGGTGCGCTTTTGGTGGAATTATGCGGTGCTGTCACTGTGAAAGTTTGTTTTAAGAGGTGGCTGAAGGCAAACAGTTAACTCGAAATTGAATGCAGTAGAACTCAGGCGTGCATAGTTCTTTATATCCACTGAGCTGACATGGATGGAATTTGAGAGCATGAAGAGTACTGGCGATTAGACAGCATGGTGTCCCATTTGCAAAAATTTTTATTGAAATAAGATTGAAAATAGTAAATGCACGTAGGACCCGTAGTGTCGAACGCTGAAACTTATCTTGTTTTACAGGACTTGTTGAGAGGGAACATTTATTCTCTTCCGTAATGATAGGTACTCATCAGTGAGTCCGCAGGTCGGGCCAGGTCGCTAGAGAATGCTACCATGACTTGTCCTTATAGATAATCTCAATCTAAAGTGGGACTTTTTTGTTAGAGGAATACTACTCTTCGAAGAAATGACGCACAATCATGGGGATGAGCAAAACCGTAACGAATATGCAAGGAGAGGAATGCCGCCAATTTGATGAGAATCATTCCATCAGGATGCAGCGCTAGAACTTGCTTCCTTGGCTCAGTTCATTGATAAGTCTCCTGTCCCCCCTTGATGTCCACACCCCAGTTATCATCACCATCATCATCATCATCATCATCATCATCATCATCATCATCACCGACAGCATGACATCAGTGTCCAACACCGATGCTTCACACCAGTCAGATAAGATGTTACTTCTGATTGGCTTGTTAGCTTATCTGTACAGTTTCGCCACTTCTCAGACCCTCACACGAAGTGAATTATAACGTGGATGAAATCGACCAAGAAACATGAATCCGTAGGAGTCTTTTTCAGTGTTTCGGTCAGCCAGAAAGTTAGTCAGTAGAATGTTTCCGTCGTCAGTACGCAGCGAACCTAATAGTTCATTTCCGATTCGCACTGCGAGTTGCTTTTTATCTGAATCTGTGGCAGAAACGTGCACAGAACGTTAGGCTGAGGAACTCCTCTACGTATGTACTTTAGTTTTTACTACACGGGACGGTTTTTATACAGTTATCACAATAAAATAGCATGAGACACAGTGATGTGTGTAAATGCAATTCGTTGGGTAATTGTCCAAAGCCACTGTTGAGTGATGGTGAAATAAAGTAAATTCCAATTAACGGTGCTCAAACGGTTGGCGTCAGTTTGCTATCTTGAAGATATCTCGATATCCGAATTACAGAAATGTCGTCACACCAAGTTGTAGGTTACCCCGCGGAACGTGCGTTACTACCCCAAGGCCACATTCCGACTGATGGTCACAAGTGTCTATCTACAAAGCTGACCTGTGACTGGAGATTAATCCCATCAGGCTATTGCATTGGGACAACTAGAAACCGGTCAATAGCCATAGTATTCTGCAAGGTACAGTAGAATTTCATGTCCCTTTCATACTCAGGGCGATTTCACTCAGACTTGCACTAGAATGATCTTTGTTTTCCCATTAAATTCCGAGTAGGTCAAGCTAATCTTCCGAAATAATGAACTGACTAAGAGGGAGTCCGATCTTCTTGTACTAAGTGTTTGGCGTAAAAGATTTTGAACGCGTAAATTAAGCTGCATTTGTTCCATCAACTGTGTACAATAATTTCCGGATACACTGACCATGAGCACTATCTGACTGGGTTAAGTTGTGGTGCGTGTCGGTGAGATATTATGCAGATTTTAGGAAGAGTTTCTTATTTCCTGGACAGATCAATTTCCAACAGTGATGATATGTTGTTATCCGATTAGCGAATGGACTCAGTTAGCTATTCCGATTGTCCAAACTACCCCGAGGGCTTACTACGTCGATAACGTCCGCTCCCATATGATTCCCAATCCAAATGTGGGAGTGGTTAGGTCTGTGGATGTTCGTTCCTTCTATAGAAAGCAGACCGCAAATCAACTACAGATGAGATCCTGTGATACAGATCTGCTGAGGCCCAAGCTGCCTACTCCGTAGTGAAAAGTACGTTGATGAGCAATTTTATTGGCATTTTTCAACTCAGATTTCGTGCGCTGTTGGTTGGGACCCAACCCACTGAAAATGTCTCCTCGAATGGTGACCAAACGTTTGCAAACCAATTGCCAAGCTCGGCGAACAGATCAACAGCCACCTGACCAATCACCAACTAATACTACCGAGCTACCAATATTCCAACACATTACCAGGGAAAATAATTCTCATACAAAAGCGATGTGGGTGTGAATTTTATGAACACCATATATTTATTAGTTATCGGGTTTATTTCAGACTATTTCATCTAAAAAGGACAATTGGAGGGTCAAAAATAAACATCAACGTGTCACATCGCCTGACAGACCACCGTTGTCTAAAACAGGCAGAGAGAAAAAGACCATTTACCAGAAAGTCAAAAATAGCACATTTTATGGAACTTATCTATTTCGTTGCGTGGGTTGAAGCAAGGACAGTTAATTTTAGGCAGCAGCTGTTTGGCATATGCCTGTGTCACGTGAAAATTACGGTTTGGTTTTTTAAGTGAAGCTTAGATTTGTGCCGATATCGCGGCTGCATCATCAGATTTCAGCATAGATTAGGTGCTTCCATTCCTGGTATGTAAAGCCCCCATTTAAGCAGATTTCACTCCGACTAGAGCCATCGAAATTGAAGAAAATAATCTGCTTCCAAAGTCTTACACCCTAGCTTGGAAGAATTCAACCGATCGCCTTTCGGGCACAGACTTCTCCGCTCACATGCGGTAGGATTTTTCATTCTGCAACTTCACAGCCTCACTCACGTCCTTGCCGAGGGACGTATAATCCCTGTCATTGTTGCTCAACCACACCGCTTGTGGAATGTCCACCAGTCTGAGTTGGGAGATGCTTTCACAGTGATGCAGATTTCTCTAACCAATGTAGGTTCGTTTTTGTCAACCTTTCTGTCGGAATCGGTAATTCAATTTCCACCATGCGACTTTTCTCATTTGTATATGCGAACTGAGCCAAGACCTGGGAGTCATGGAAGGATGCCCTCACACTAGGACTTTCCAGATTAGGGAACATCATTCTCACACTGAGGTCAGCCGCTTACGGATAATACGTCTACCTGAAAACTGTGAAAATTTGTCGTTATTCTATTCGCCTCTACCACTTGATTTCTTGAGATGTTTCTGAATTTTTCAACAAGAATTGTATCGAATCACGAAAATTTAAGCCACACAAGGATTTCAGCCCCCACTGTGACTCATCAGGCGGGTATAACAAGCAGGTCATGTCACAGTATAACGAGCTGTTTCACATGGCCGTACTAAGGATGGCATAGTCACCAACAAGCCTTTGGCAGCTAGTGTTCCTGCTCCACAGACTCCGTCTAACTTGCAGTGACCGCCCCAAAGGTTTTAAGGGGCAGAAAGACCACTAAGCACTAAACTTCTCAGGTCACCACAATGAATGTCTGCTAACGGATATTTAACCCCTGAGTTGGAGTGCTTTTTCACTGCTATCCGAGTTTGTCACATAGTTTAACGAGTATCAAGTGAAGGTTCACAGGAAACCAGTTGAGTAAAGTAGATAAATGCTACTAACAGGAGTATAGTTGATCTTAGTAAACAGAAGAAAAATCGTTGAATGAAAGCATATTCCTCAGTTGACTGATCTTGCCTTGTGGGCAGTCTCCATGCCGATGCAACCTGCATACCTTTATGAAGAACGCATGAAGTGGGCGAGTCGGTGTGTTTCAATTGGTTCTGTTTTGTTGACAAGCATGTGATCAACTTGGGCATCAAGTTCACTTGGGAAGTACGAGATATTAACGAGCCAAAGGGGCGTGAGGAAAAAACAACTGAACTCATTATTGTCACTAGCAAGGATAAAGACAGACATATCGATGTAGGATATTAGCACAGTGGAAAGAACGTTTAGAAAAATGAAAAGAAATCAGAAATGTTGTTGGGACAATCCATGGGTTGGTGAAAAGAGACTGATACCCGTTGAAGAAACAAGTCTTACATACCAAAAATAGGCAGTTATGGCTTTTCGAAGACAAGTTGTAAAGGAAACGTACGATTCTCGCCTTATGTAGGTTACTCCTCCACCGACACTCCCCCTTAAGGTGGTTCCGAGATGGCCAGACCGATGTAGATTGTATCCATCAAGCTGGATGATTTTGTTGTGGACACCGACATGCAACCGGCTTTCTTTGACACGAAAACACCAGTTTGTTGATGCTATCTTCGATCAAACAGTTCAACTATGTCGTTCAGTCTTTACAAGCACTGAATGGACATTATTGGAAACCACTGGTGGCATTTGCATCGTATTGATACCAACTAACCAAATAACACATCCAACATTCTTCGGAAAGCTTCGTCCGTAACGATTGCTCAAATTTCTGTCACTCCTCGAAAGTGGTTATGTATGCAGATATCAGGAAATTGTAGCTGTACATCTGAGGTGCAATCCTGAGGACAAGTTATCAAAATAGTGTGTACCAGTGCAAACAGAATTGTATAAAATTAAATTCTACACTTGGAAGCAGGGGCATTTCGCAGGTCTCGCCTAGATACGAAGTTACTCTATGAGAAATTAGTATTGTAGTCAGTCATCTTTCGACGTCCTGTCTTGACAGGTCTGACATCCGATTTATTAAGGGACTTTTTTGATTTAATCGATTTAATGTCAGTGTGTTCCACTAGTATGTCTCATAGTGATGCTGAATTACTTCTTGCTAATGTAGCCCTGCTTCAAACTGTGGGTTTTTGTGTAACTGCATATCGAGCCAGAACATCTCAGTAGGTGTCCCACCTACTCTCTTAAGAGGTATCATTATTGTCTGCATATTTGTATCGATTGATGACGCTACCGTGGTCATTCTTTTAGCCCCCTTTCTCGCCTTGATTGCTATGGTATGTTGCAAGTACCGAATTTTATACACACTATGTTAGTGGTATTCCAGTTTCCACTAATTGTGGGTCAATTCAGTTTATTTTTTGGTCTTAATAGCACTCACCCCAAGTGGCGAAATACATTTATTTGCAAATCACTTTGGTATAAGCGGGGAACTATAGTAAATTCCAACTGAATATCTCGTTTATGATGTTCTCCAACAGAATGTGTGACATAAAAGTTGCCTTAGGTTTCATTTGGCACGACATTCAAGATATCACATCGTATTTTTTGAAAATTATAACACACTACTTTTAAGGTTGTGCAACAAATTCAGTTGAACAATGTCGTAAACGAGATATTCATTTGAGCCTTTTGTGGACGCCAAAGTAAGTTGGAAGTCAGTGTATTTCGCCAATTACGTACGATTTGGTGTTCAATAAAAACTTCAAGTTGATAGAGCCCGGAGGATTAAGCCAACCTGATGCGCCTCAGAAAAAGCAAAACCTGAAGTCGAAATGCTTCCGGCAACTTTATGCTTAGTTTGTTAGACCAAGGAAACATTGATCCGGGTTTATCAGGAGAAGAATGCAAATGATGGTTTGGTATTCTTAGATGTTCCCCTCAAAGGACGTCCGGAGGATAGACTACCGCGTACGATTTCTTGCAAAACACTCACTTTTCTAGCGAAACACAATCAGCTGCAAACAAATGTGGTTTTGCGAGAGACTCATCTGGAACCCAGCCGAATCTCTTTTATGACATCTCTCTTACAAGACCAAATCTTTTTGCTAATGATTATTTTTCGCTAATTTCGTGCAATTTGGGTTCAAGTAGAGCATAAAGTTGAGGGGGACCGCGCCTACCTGATGAGCCTTAAGAAGGGGGAAACCGGTCGTTGGCTGTCGAAGAATTTTCGGCAGCCTTGTGAGTAGTGTACTATGTCTATTCACTTCTCCATGGACTCAACCCCGCACTGATGATGTCACCTCGATTGGTGATGAAACGTTTGCAATCCAACTACCAGGCTCGGTGAACACACCAACAACCAGGCAGCGCACCCGAGCTACTCACATTCTACAAGATTGCCAACAACCACGTATTGGTGGTTTGGCCTTAATTCAACTCTTATTCTAGGGAGGGAGGGTTCGAGTTCAGTTTGGGTCAAGTTACTTTTTGGCTGACCTCGTAATTGGTTGGATTTTATTCCCTTATACAACTGTTGCAGCAGGCGAGATGGTGCCGAGTACATCATTCCCATTCTATTGATAAATCACAGCTAAGAGCATCTGAAACACGGGGTGGTCTTGCAGCCGACGTCAATTATTGTGAACGCTATTCTTCGTCAAAAGAGCCCCAAAACGTGGTAACGGTGTCTTGGCGTCTTGGTGTCTTGGGTACCTATCATCCTGCGATTAAGACGAAGACGCTATCCCCCCCCTTATCCGCTTCATTCAGTGCACTAAAAAATTAGTACTTACTGCCTTAATCTGTTGAAAAGCAGTTTTCTTTGTACAGTCATTCTTTGCTGTGGATAGAATATGATCTCGTCTTCTCTGTTTCTTGTCACCGATACTGGACTAATAAATCCATCTTCTGTCGCGCCAACGAAGTCATTAGACCCAGCCCCGCTTGGGTGAGACGAAATTCGGGTAGTGACCCAGGGTGTGCAGGTACACTCCTGGGAAAGCTGAAACTGGACTGCCTGAGGAACCAAGAATGTACTTGACGTGTATGCCAACACTAAGAGGCCAGTGCATCTCTTCAATTAGCGGTGCGTACAGTTTGCACTACCTGTTTGTCTGTACGTATGAGAGGACTGGCAATAGAAAAGCGAAGTCTCGTCATTGACCTTCATGCTTATGACGACTGTAGATCAACATTCGAAATGTCCGTTTCGCACTTTGATAAAAAGTTGACTCCCAACAGCACATGTATCTATGTCCGAGACTGTGGGATGATGCACCAGCGACTCGATGATAAGTTGGATGAATGAGGTTTACACACTGACTCCGATAGATACAGCCAAGCGGCATTTCTTAGCATCCTTCCTCGCTCGCGCCCTGCAACACAAACCTAGTGCTATTCGTAGTCCCAGTAATTCTGGAAGAAAATGACAGAAAGCTTTAGCCTAAGCATTCATCTTTTTCATGTTCACACTGTAGAGTAGAAATTCTGAAGTTAATAAGAGTTAAGTCAAAAAAGGTTTTATGCTCTGTTGAAACATTTCAGCAATTTTACACATGGTTTTTCGCTAAAAATTATATTGAAAGCAAATTTATGGGAGTTCTCTACAGATGCTAATAAAACATCACGTCACCAATATTCCCCGTTCTGGTGAATTGCGTCAAACGTTAATATAATTAAGTATGAAGGCGATGCGCTCTCCCGGTTTCGATGTGAACTGCGATATAAACTTTATGTGGTTACACATGTCACTACCACAGTGATATTCTTTCAGCTAGAACGGGAAATACTTCTAACTGGAATAGCAAAATTCGTCCAGAGTTCCCACATAAACTCATCAGAATCACTGTCTGATTTTTTAATCAGTGAAGACCTATTTATCTCATCGATATCTTCCGGCATGACCATCAAATTTAATTTCAGAAAACAGAAAGCACATAACTTTGCTCTTCAAAAAAGATTCATTTACTAAAAGTTTACGTAAAGTGTAAATTCTCAACGATATTTAGAATTAATTCAGGTATCAGTGAAGCACTCCTTGTTTGTTTCCCCCGGAGCAGAAAAATTGTTTAATTCCTCTCATTGATTAAATTTTGAGTGTTATTGACTACTTTATCGACTATCGTCATGGTGATACACTTTCCATTTCTGGCACAACAAAATGCTTAATAATACGTCAGAAGAAGTTGCAAGCATTTAAGTAAATTTAGAAGAATGAAAAACCAATGGATTTAATGTCACTCATAAACACTTGAATAGTATACACAAAAGTCTATTCACTTCCATGCGATCCAAATTACGGTTTGCTTTTTCAGTCCACAAATCAGGAAAAAATAGTTGATTCTGCAGACAGCTACCATCGGTTCTTCACGGCAGTCTCTTGTAATAACCCAAATGTTTAGATGCTATTCGCTCCACTGCCGCATCTCACAGTAAAAAAAACAACGCAGAGTTCTCGTTTCAGAAGAGCTTGATAAACAATCGGTAGTTTTTATTTGGGCAACGTTTCGCTTTTGACACAAAAGCTTCATCAGGCCAAGTGAGCAGGTCACCAAATTGGCCAGGTTATAAGACAGACGGGGAACCAATCAGTAAGTCCTCTTCAAACTAGATCAGTGTTGAGTGTCAATTAGCGGCTCTTGTCGGCTAGTGTGGGTGCCAAAATCTTGAATCGATGTGTTGGAGGGTTCCAAATTAGTTCCGATCGCTTTTCGTTCCTTAATCTTCCAATTCAGGGTGCTTCACTTGATGATTCACCTCGGGTGCCGCTGTTAGATTTTCCCTGGTCTTTGCGGGGTTGTGAGTGCTCCGACAGTTTAGTTTCAGGGGGTTTGAGGTCAAGTGGATTTCGGATGATAACCTTTCAGGGGGAGGTCAAGTGGATTTCGGATGATAACCGCATACCAGCACGTGTCAGCTCGAGCGACCCAAGACCATTCTCCACACACTAGCTAGTTCCACGCCTTCCATTCTGTTAACGCCGGGATGCTTGGCGGTTTCTACCGCCTCGGCAATCAGTCTGTGTGATGTGGACCGTAGTCCTCGCCTCAAAACCTCAACATTTTCTAAATCTATTTTGTGTCCCGTGTCGAGTGCGTGTTCCGCAATCGCCGAGTCTTTCAGTAACGCTTGATATTCATCTGCGTTTCTCGGCGGCCTGTTTATTTTTCTACTATGCTCTCCGACTCTGATGTGTAGTTCCCTGGCCGTCTGTCCTATGTAAACCTTGGTGCAGTCATTACACTTAATTTTGTAGACACAGTCCCTGGTTCTGTTTGCCGGGAGGCGATCCTTCAATTGCACCAGTGCAGAGCGCAGAGTGTTCCCCTCTGGAAAGCTACTCTTATGTTAGCCGTGTTTAGAATTCTTCGAATTACCTCCGATGTCCCTGGTTTATATGGAATAACAGCTGTCCCGATCCATTCCCTGTTGGGTTTCGCTACCGGTACCAACACCCTTCGCAATTGACGCCTAATCAAACTAGCTGGATATCCACTACGCCGAAGTTTGTTCTTTACCTCAATTTGGGCCACTGTCCGATCAGCTTCTTCTGTGCATAGGGCCCTTACACGCCTAAACATTGATGGGGCAATACTAGCGAACACCGACTTCGGATGGGCAGATGCGTAGTTCAAAACTGCCCCATTGTCGGTTGGCTTCTTGTACAATGTCGTCTTTAGTTTTTCCCCGACCTTATGTGTCTTAAAGGCCAGTTTACCCGAGGTTGACTCTAACTCCACACTAAATTTGATGTGTGGACTCAGTTCATTGAGATATCTGTAAAACTCACTAAACTTATCTCGTTTCATCACGACAAAAGTGTCATCTACATAACGCCAGAATACCTTAGGTGGGTATGGGAATCCGGTTAAAGCTCTCTGTTCAAATTCTTCCATAAATATATTTGCCAAAATTGGGGATATTGGAGATACCATTGCTAGACCTTGTTCTTGAGTGTAAACCACGTTGTCGAAAACGAAGTGGGTGAGGTTCAGGCATGCTTTTATGCCTTCCACTGTTCCATCCACCGTGAGCTGTGTCCGTTCTGAAAGGGTGGTGTCCGCTAGTAGCAGTCGCTTAGCTATTTCTAAAGAGTCTCCTTTGGGCACATTTGTATATAATGAATTGACATCGAAACTTACCAGGATGTCATCTGGTTCAACGGTAACCCCAGCTACTTTGTTGGCAGTCATACGAATTCTTAATATAAGTACTAGATTTCCCGGTGAGGGGTTTTAAAATACCGGCCAAGAATCTGGCCAGTTCATGCGGTGGGGAACCTATTCCGTCTACTATCGGTCTCGCCGGGACATCTGGTTTATGGATTTTTGGAAGGTCACTTTTGGGGTACAATCGATACCAGTTACCTTGCCCTACGTGGTTTATCACGGACCGCAAATATTTGCCAACTTCGGCTTTGTTCCTATTCATTATTGACGTAATATTTGCATTATCGATCACCCGGTAAGGACCCTCAGCTAGGTGTTGCTTGGTCATCATCTAAAGTCCACTTGACCTCAACCCCCTCAAACCAAACTGTCGGAGCACTCACGACCCCACAAAGACCAGGAAAAATCAACCAGTGGCAACCGAGGTGAATTATCAACTGAAGAACCCTGAAGTGGAAGATTAATGAACCAAACCCGGTCAGAATTAATTTGACCCTCCCACCAATCCATCAAGGCAGGATTTTGACAACTTCACTAACCGATAAGAGCCATTAATTGACACTCAACACGGATCTAGTGTGAAAATCCGAAGAAGATTGACTTACTGATTGGTTCCCCGTCTGTCTTATAACCTGGCCAATTTGGTGACCTGCTCACTTGGCCTGATGAAGCTTTTGTGTCAAAAGCGAAACGTTGCCCAAATAAGAACTACCGATTGTTCATCAAGCTCTTCTGAAACGATGACTTCTCAATCGGTTCCAAACCTTTTCCAATTGATTGAACACAGAGTTCTCCTTCTGATTCAGGACTCAAATTCGAATATGACCAAACAAGAAGCCAATCACGAATGAAGTTGCTTTTGCGGAGGGTCACTTGTTCATACGACTCAGTAGCCCTCAAAAATGGCTTATTATTGATCGAAGTATAAAAAAATTTCAATTTCCCTATATCTGTTTTTTTTATATGACGGCCGTTCCTCGTGAAATAACCTTATTTCCTGCTCTGTAAATAAGCAAAGCATGTGCATATTGTTTCAACATGTCAAGTTTTTTTTAAAGGTCGCTTTTTATAGCTTCTAAGTTTTCTAGCTAGTTTGCTTGTAAGCCACATTCCACTCAGCTCCCTTATGTGTAAAATAGGAATATTCAAGTGCTTACAAGACGTCAATATTGGCAGAGTTCCCTCGCAGCTGAATCCAGTTCATCTGGCTAAGACACTGCTTTCATTCACATCTCTTTGGAATCATTTCAGTAATGGATAATAAAACATCACAAACGAGAG